CTAAGTTGTTCCCCAAAATACCCCATTATGTTTCACAGTTCTCCCCCACGCTAATAGTGCCACTGGTCATGATATTATTGATATACTTATCGCTTATAAAGACCAGAAGTTACAAGTAATAAATTCGACACCGAAGATATTATGGTGAAAAAATTATTATCAGTGTACCTACTTCCGACAATAACTTTTATTGTTATACATACATATTATAAATAGGTAATTGGATTATTGGACTATCACGTCTTGTCGCAAGTAATCCCCACTACATACTGTCGTACAAGGCGCCTAGTTCAAGATTACCACTACACATTCTTATTTTGATCAGCTGTTATGTTTAATGTTCAGTTTTAATGATAACAACCTTGTGATATGAACTCAGCTGTTGACACGTTTTTCTAGTACGGGTAAACAAGGACCTAACATTCCAACATCATGTTGGTTTCTATGCTGTTAATAAGTATTGTCGTATTACCGTTAGGTACAGATTTATTATTTTTTTTTTTAAAACTTCTTTTGAAGGTTAGGGTATTGCATGATACCTAATCAATAATTTTGAATTATGAATACATTTTTTAAAATAGTTTAGTGCTTACAATTTACTATTACTACTAAACTACTTGAACTCACGATTAAACATACATGCTTCAATACTTTAATATTTTTTCTTTTTATATAACATTATATAAAATCTTTCGATTTATCATTAATCGTGTTTAAACTTAAGTGTATTATGCACTCCACATTCAATTGTGCGTATACAATGTTGAAATCTTAAATTAAAGTAACCCGTAGGTAATACCACTAATAATTAAATACCTATTTAAGTATTACCAATTACCATAGAACACAGTGTTCTATGTTGTAACTTGTAATTATTTTTCCTCAAAATTAATTTATTATTCCATGCTTATCAATAATGTTTACGATAATATTATCTGTGTTATTTGTTTGATACTTATAAATATTAAATACTATAATCAAGCTGATTTTTATATAAAATATAAATTATAGTAATTATTCAAAATTATAGAAAACTGTGCTTAGGGGACACTTAAATTGATTTTAAGTAACACTTATATGATTGTGCATACGAGTACCTAACAATATAATAAAGTTGCAGTGTATGCATATGAAATAATAAATAATAATTTACAAGATATTATGAACAATCTGTACAGAGGAAATTAATAATATTTAATATATACAGACTGTACCTACCGTTTTTTCCCCCATCTAACAATACTAATAACATTCATAAACTTAATGATCAACCATCAAGTTTTTATCTTTTAAAATAAAATACGAATACTATAAAAATACTAGTTAGTTCATATTTATTCGTTGTCCACTCAATTTACAATTCTGAATAAACTATACTAACACATTTAAATAATATTTTGAACAAGTAAATATTACATTAGGTACCTATGATAAATAAATTGGCTCTGAACTAATTTTATTCATGACCAATTGTCCCACATTTTATAACAATTTTCAGTAACACCGAACCCTATAATAAATATTCAACTAGCTATTTTAACTTAAATGGGTGATTGGTTAGTGCGTAAGAATAATGATTTATATTTTGTGCGTATTAATGATCTTAATCCTGCCTCAAAAAAGATAAGTTTCTGTATTAATAATTGAGAAAAACTCGTTTTTTGGATATCTTGGTTTGTATGAAGAGTACATAAAATGTGTATTTAAAATTCAAAATTACATAAAATGAAACATCAATATTTTGTTTTGTGGTAAGAGTAAATTATACTCTCCCCTCCCCTTACAAGTACAATATTAAGTTTTGATTGTGTAAAATTGCAGTTTTGCAAAATATGAGTAAAGATATAACATGTATTCAAATAATTGAATCTAACTTCCCAATAACCCCAGACTTAAAACAAAAGTAAAATTTTTAAAAAGCTGTTAATAATATTTTAACTCGAATTTAGTACAAATTACTATTCAATGACAACACCAATCATTGGCAGAAAGAATTTATATTGAGCAATTACTTAGTAGTAATTTATATATGTATGATAATAACAGCTAATCACATACATACTTACTATTTTTTTTATTTTTTATTTTCTTTACGCAATTTACACAATATGTGTAGGTATGTGTATTAAACACAACATAAATTTATCTTTTAAGTTTTAATGATTGATGTTGTCACCTCACTTAAATTAATTATAAAATAACATACAAATTATAAAACACTAGCTGATCCCGTGCACTTCGTTTCCCGTTAAATGGACCAACTCTATATGACTCAAACATATTTCAATGCGTTATTTAATATTTGGTGTATGATGTTCTAGATTTATCTTAACTTTTCTGTTGCCCTGAATAAAAATTCTGATTTGCAGCAGTACATTATCAGATAGGTAATTTACCTGCGGTAGATCGCGGACCCCGTGCTGTTTGTACGTAAGTGTATGATTTAACTCAAAAAGTACCAAAGTTATACCAAGTTTGACGTTTTTACTTAATTCCACCTACCTATAAATCCTAACCTAACATAACCGTACTAAAATCCGATGAATAAAAAAACCAAATTTAACCCTTTTTAAATTAGCGTATCTTCTTCCCATAGGTCTTATCTACACACCGTCATTCATTTATATATAAGATATATTTACAAAAAATAATAATACAAATCAACAAACATGCCCGATTAACCAATAGCAACCAATATATAAAATAATACACCATAGAGTAAATAAAGACAACGGTATCGAGTTCAAATCCCAGACATCAATAAATAGTTTTTGCAGTTTTTCTAATTATTCAGTTAACTTTTTAAAAATTTTCTTTCGTAAAAACCTTCACCTGGCAATTACGAACATCTTAAAAAAAATTTGAGCAAAATCGGCCCAGCCGTTCTCAACTGATGCAATTTCGAATTTTTTGTCTCCATTTTTATATATATATATAGATATAGATTAACACTAGCAACATTTTTAGTTTTCAATAAATATCATTGGTAATTTGCAGTTAGTTGTCCAAATAGATTTTTTTCCACTTCTTGCAATTATTAACTTGATTACACCTAAACAATTTATTTTTCATTATAATTATTAAATAATATTACAGTTAAACAAATTTATACTTACTTAATTTATTTTGTAGTAATATTTAAATCCAATATGTGAAGCAATATTTTTATTTTTCACTGTTACCAAAATATTGGTATTTTTAAATGTAATTAGAAATAGCAGTATAAATATCATTTTAACATGTAGGATATTCCAACTTGTATGTGATAGTAAATTTCACTATGGCATATTCAAATACCGATTTGGAATCATAATATATTATGTGTAAGTTATAATGTGCAGTTAGTGCTAATAGATTTATTTCCACTTCTTTGCAATTATTATTAACTTGATTAGGTACCTAAAAAATTGGGTTGTCATTATAATAATTAAATAATATTACAGTTAAACAAATGTATACTTACTCAATTTATTTTGTAGTCATATTTAAATCCAATATGTGAAAAAATATTTTATTTTTCACTGTTACCAAAAATATTGGTATTTTTAAATGTAATTTTAAATAGTAGTATGAATATCCACTAGGTAACAGCGAACCATATGCTATACATTTAAACAACAATTTGTAGATGTATAAATGATTAAACTGAAGTCAAAATGTTTTAACTTAATGATATATTGTATTATTTATTTAATTGTAGAAACTACTAACTAGTAAAACTTACCAACAAATTGTACATAATATTATTTATATTATGTACCTACTCGCCAAGTATCTAATTGTCTTGTGATTAACCAATTTAGGTACTTTCTTATATGATTAAATTATTAAATAAAATACAATATGTGGTAGATAAGAAAAAATATATTCAAGAACTTATAACATAATAAGTGCATTATTAAAATAACACTTACAAATGATAAGTATTAAAAAGTAAAACTTTATTAACATTAAAGACTCGATTCGAGCCAATTCAATAATTATTCAATCTTATAATCACATCATATATTCAATCTTATGATCTTATAAGTTTATTACATAACCGTTTATCAGATATTCAACGTATTGCCATATGCTTCACGATAACCAAGTATTGGGTATACTTCATATCATGTAACCATGAACTATGATATCTGTAATCGTGCACAGAACAATACAAATAACAGCTGATGTGAAAATACGTAAACGTAATACAGCTGTTATTAAAGGTCTTATAATACATATGATATGTCTGATATGAAAATACGTCATTGTAGTAAGTAGGTACAACGATTATCATTTATCACCCATATACCTTGTGGTTGAACAATATCGAATTTATTACTTATAGCTTCTGGTCTTTGTAACTGATAAATATTATTATGACCAGTGACGCAAACACCTTCAATGCGGTAATCTACATATGCAAACCCTGCTAAATTGGTATTATAAAATACATTTAGGAGCCCAACCTACGTTTACAGTAGGTACTTACTGAATTGATCTGAAAAATGTAATATTTTTTACCCTAGGGCATACAAATTCTAATTTTTGAGGTGGGTATAACACATTTACACACAAACACCTCCCAAAACACCCCAACTTTGAGAAGTTATAACTCGTTAACGGATTAACGAAAAATGAAAATTTAAACGTGATAATTCATAAGAAGAAAAGCCTTACTAAATTATGACATTTTTTAGTATGGGTTGCCATTTGAAAATCAAAAGTTGATGGTGGTTTACCTAATAAATATAAGGGTGAAAAATATTAAATAATTATATAATTCCAGAACAGCGTAGATCTAACATTTTGAAAAAAGTGAATACTTTTTGAGATAATGAGTGTTTTACACTTAATCAATCACCCTGTATATACAATCGTCGTAGTTTCCCTATGTTCTACACTGTGTTTAGCCAATTTTGTAGCAAAATTTTGTATTTTTTGTACATTCACCGTAATATTTCCCCCCCAATTCCCCTCCAAAATTAATCGCTGGATCCACCACTGTACTAACGATTATGTATTACGTTCCACAGGTGTGCTTGGGCGACACTGTCATGGTGGACGTGGAGAACGCCATGATGGAGGAGTCGACGTCCGTCCATTGGCACGGGCACCACCAGCGCAACTCGCCGTACATGGACGGCGTGCCGTACGTGACACAGTGTCCGGTTCCTCCGCACAGTTCGTTTCGGTACGTGTACCTGGCCGACAACGAGGGCACGCACTTCTGGCACTCGCACTCCGGCTGCCAGAGGGGCGACGGAGCGTTCGGGTCGTTCGTGGTGCGCGCCCCAAAGTCACGAGATGTGCACCGCGAAATGTACGACGTGGACGTGCATGTCATCACGGTCACCGACTGGCTGCATGAGCTGGGCATTCGCAAGTTCCTCGCCCATTACCACGGTTCCGGCAACAACAATCCTGAGACCATTCTGATAAACGGCCGAGGCCGTTACAAAGTCTTCGACGGTGGTTACCGCACGCCCCTGACCCAGTTCAACGTGACCAGAGTGAGCAGCAAACCGACCACCTGCTATAATATTATGTTACATAAATATAAACATAACTATACGCTATATCACGCGATTGCGTTTATCGACTTCAGCAGTCCCGCTGGAGGGTAGCACGAATATTATTAATATTGTATTGTATATGAATTCATGTTTTGTACCTCTATCAACTCGGGCGATTCGTTTGTTCTACCATTAGTTTGCTTAACCCTTCGTCCCGTCATCGTGTACAATAAAGATATTAAAGTTGGGGCACAAAGGCACATCCCTTCAAACACAACAATTTGATTTAATGCACACATTCAAAATAAGTTTAATTAAATAAAATAAAAATGGTTGTGTCACAAAAAATAAAGTAACTACTAGCAACAACAAACTCTTAATACATTGATGTTTGATAAAGTATGATAAAGTTTGAATATTAGTTAAAATATGTATAGGTATAATATTACTATATTATTTCAACAAAAGCTAAGTAGGTAGGTTCTATCTATAGAATGCTTCTACTTATAGGCATGCAATAACAATATATATATATATATATATATATATCAGTATATCGCGATATTTGGTATAGCGTTTACAGAATTATTATACCCGCATAGATTTTTTAGTTTGTTATAATAATTGAAGACTATTATAGTGATCCTCAATTTTTTATAAACTACGAAAAAGACATTTACATTTCTGTGCAAGAAAAAAAAATAATAACATATCATAATATATACCTAATGATATTGAATGCAGGTATAAATATCGTATTAAATCGTTGTTAAATTAAATTCCCTATTTTTAAAATTCGATTTTAATTACCTAGTTTTTAATAAGGGCCCCGTACAAAATATTCTCAAGTATTTACCAGCAAAATATGTGTTAATATAATTATTACCTTTAATTGAATACATTTTCTTGGCACTATTGATTCGTTTTAATGGTTTTATCAAGCAGAATATTATAATATTAGGTACATATGAAATTGAAATCAATTAAAATCAACTTCAATGTTAAATGTTTTAATATTTTTATTTTGTTTAGGGAAAACGATATAGGTTTAGACTGATTAACGCTGGATTCCTAAACTGTCCAATATTAATGAGTATCGACAATCATACGTTTACTATGATTGCAACAGATGGATATAATGTTCAACCAGTAGTAGGTGAATAATAACGTTACAATCAAAACAATTACTAAAACAATAACCCTATTCGATTCACACAAATAACTATAACAGTGATAATTATAATATGACGTACATGTTTACAGTCGATTCGTTTGTAAGTTATGCTGGTGAACGCTGGGATTTTGTAGTGGAAGCAACAGCTAATGTTGGCAATTATTGGATGCGATTTAGAGGCTTGATGGATTGCGATAAAGGGGTTACCAAGGCCTTTGAAGTATCGATTTTGCATTATGACGGAGCTGGTGACGAGGAACCAGAGGGCACACCAACATATGACAATACACTTCATTCCGGAATCGTAAATATAATGCACAATTAAAATATAATATCAATACTTTTTTGTTTTATTATTATATTTAATATTTAACTAATGTATTCAAATATAAAATGATTACAGCAATTGAATGCACTGAATAAAGGATCTGGGTTAATGGACACTGTTACTGTATCAGAATTAGAAGACGCAACACCCTCAAAAAACGACTTTCGTTTGGAGAAAAAACCAAATGTAACATTTTTTATGTCATATGATTTTTATTCTTTAGATAATCCACATTTCCACAAACCTATGTTATATGGATTCAAACAAGGTTAATAATAATAATTGTATTTAAAGAGTTAATGAAATAAAGTTGTTTTAGTAAAAACGGTTTAATAAATAAATATTTTTATATTTCCATGTTATAGTGACGCACAGGTCTGAACAAGTGTACACGCCACAAATTAACAAAATGTCTTTTAAGCTTCCATCATTTCCTTTATTATCTCAAAGGAATATGATAGAACCTTGGATGAGTTGTGATAATATAAAGAAGGATTGCTCAAACGAATTCTGTGAGTGTACAAACATTATAAAAGTTCCTCTGGGATCAATCGTTGAACTATTTCTCATTGATAAAGGTAAATAAAAGTATTGGAAAATAATTAGTACGTATAAGGACAATAGTAACTTACTGTATACTTATTAATTTTAAGGTGTGACCTTCAACTCAAATCATCCATTCCATTTACACGGACATCCGTTTAGAGTAGTAGCAATGGAAAGAGTTGGAAATCATACTACTGTAGAGGAGATAGAACAAATGGACAGAGATGGACGCATTGTAAGAAATCTGCGGACTGCACCCCTTAAAGACACCGTGACAGTACCAGATGGTGGATTTACAATATTAAGATTCTTAGCTGACAATCCTGGTAAGTCATTAATGCAAGATCGATTACATTTTTAAAACTTCAAAAATTAACAATAAGTACCAAATGATTTTATATAATAGGTTATTGGTTATTTCATTGCCATATTGATTTCCACGTTGAGGTGGGCATGGCAACTGTGTTCAAAATCGGCGAAGACTGGGAAATGCCCCCATCACCTCCGGGTTTTCCGAAATGTGGAAATTATGACGGAAAAGGATTGGTATCGATTTTGAATCCCGAAGAGATGGATTTGGTGTACCAATAGTTAACGGATCCAGTCAGAGCGATGGTTTGGATGACGTAGATATCGAAAGTCGTACTAATATGATATCCACATTAGATAAATGGTGGCAATTCGTCGGAGGTTCGCATCCTTATGTAGCATCTGCTGCTAGTATTAACTCATCGTATTTTTCAAATTTATTGTGTATTGTTTTTTAGTTATTGGATGACGTCTAATTATAATAAGTAATAAACTTACTGTTTATTGAATTGTGTAATGTATATATTATAAAATGTATAGTTATAATTGTGTATTAAATGCATTGTGGATTGTGATATGTATATGTTATATTATAATTGTTTGCTATTAGCTATTAGCGTTTAGCGCATCGCGCTGTGCAATTCTGTACGGCGACGACGACCTACTCCTATCAGTTCCCTCTTCATCCATACACCTCTCATTCCGTTGATTGCGAATTATTATAATTATTGTTATATTTATTTAATCTCTCTGTGTTGTTTTAATGTGAGTTATCGGTCAGCCCGTTGCCTCATACACTTATTATATTGTCTTTATATCACCTTATCACTAGTTGCGGCCAACGCCCTTGTTGTGAAATTATTATCATTGCGTTGTTCGTTCGTATATAAACTGTAGTCTATGCTAATGTAGCGTAAAACACGTATTATTGTCGCTTTTGTTTTGTTTCGGTATTTTTTAGTTGTTTGATACACACAACAACTAATTATTATATTATTATGAATAGTGTATAATCAAATGTGCGGTCTCTGTGACCAGAAGTCATTATTTTGTGTTGTCATTGCGATAATACCGGTCACCGTTATTGTAACGGCATCATTTATACCTACAATTATTATTGAAATAAATTCTTGGCGTTACCATCCCTAAACCGTAAGTCACTTTATTATATTATTATTATTCTGCGGGGTGACTAAGACAATATCACCCATTGTGACATCCACGTCAGCGTAAGTCCACCAGCACTCTACGTGGTGTGTGGGAGGCCGCCCAGGTCATCATTGCTACATCCATATCCGAGTAAGTCCACCAACAACGAACGTTGTGTGAGAGGCCGCCCAGGTCGTCCAGGTCACCGTCGGTCCATCTCAACCACAGCCCAAGACTTCAGTAGTGTTAAGATAATTTTAAGTACTGTCCCTGTTTTTTCCGAGCTCTGTGGTCATTGCACCAGACCGAATCGACCACAGAGACCCCCCTCCCCATAATTAGCTTGCACCATCATAATTCCTTTGGTAGGGATCTCCCGTCCTGATCGTCGTCTTCGTGCGTAGAATTGCCTACCTTGCACACTTTCAGGCGAGGGCACCTATAGTTGCCTACCCACCCAAATAGTCGGCGCTAGTGGTGGCATTGGCCCAAAACGGTCATATTCAGTTCTTGGGCGTTCCCCGAGTGGTCCTTCGTGTTGCCCCTATTCAGGGCGCATACAATAATTCTATATATAAAAAATGAATGTATGTGTTCCTGTTAGTGTTTGAAGTATGTGAAATATTTCATGAAATATTTCAAATGAAATATTTCATTTTGAAATATTTCACTAAGTTGTGAAATATTTCACAAAAACGTGAAACATTGAAATTTTTTTTAACACAAATAAAAACACAATTTATTTATTTTTTTAACACAATGTTCAGTGTTCTAAATTCTAATGTCAGAATTCAGTAAGTATAAAATATACATGTATAATATTGTATACCTACTTATATCATTTAAACTATTTAAAAATAGCTAATAAAAAAACTAATATTTAAAAATTTTGAATACCAATTTAAATGTATAATACCAAAGGTTAGGTATACATACAGGTACCATATAGTGATGAAGGTAATTTATGACAATTATATGTAAATATAAAGCTTATTTAAAAATAAAACAAAATCTATTAAAATACTGAAATATTTCATATATTTTGAAATATTTCATGAAATATTTCACGAAATATTTCATTTTTTTAAATTTCATGAAATTTTCAAACACTAGTTCCTGTATGTGTGTCCATATTAACATGGCAACCAATTAAATATTATTTTGATATTTCCGTCTATGTGTGTCTCCATATTACCATGGCAACCAATTATATATTATTTTGAAATTTCCGATGGAATGCTTTGTATATAAATGGTTGCCATGGTGATATGTAAAACATATTATTCATATGGAGTTGGCAATTTTAATGCTAAACGAAGTGCATGGGATCAGATGTTTTTATATAATATATAAGATCTCTGATTAGATATCTGGGCAGAAGATAGGCTAATTTAAATGGAGATATTCCCAACTACAGGAGGTGGTCAAACAGGGATTTTGAGATTTCCGATGGAAATTTTTGTTTATAAATGGTTGCCGTGGGTTTCAAAGCTATTATAATAATAATTATTAGTTGCCATTGTTTTAAAACTGTTGTTATGGTAACCGTTATATTATAAAATAAAACACAATATTATTCATAAAGAGTTGGCATTCTTAATGGGCAACGAAGTGCACGGGATCAGCTAATATTAAGAATAAAATAAATGTTTACTTTGATCATTGTGAGTTATGTTGTTTTACTCTAATTAGTTGATTTGTACCTACTAACTACAATATGTTAAATCACTTATACATTTTAGATTCTAAAGGGAAGCTAGTGGCTTAACAATATTTATATTTATTATAATACAATAATTATTACTTTATATTTACATACTTCACCTATTAAAAATAAAAAATAATAATACAGTGTATTATATTATATTATATTACAGCTGTATAATAATTGGTGAACACACCCAAAATTGAATATAAATTATCATTTACAAGTTCATACTGAATACTTGAATAGTTATAAATATTTTCAATCATTAAGAAATATAATGTCGAAAATATCTTAATTTTTTGGAGAAACAATAAACGGAATAGGAAAATTCGATGATGTACTGTTTGAATTTCAATCCAGGTTAGGTTTTAATAATTTCAAAATTATTAATGAAATATGTAGTAAATCAACTAAAATTAATTAAATTAATTGCTCAGGCTGTTCCCCCGTAAATATTATGGATAATTCCTATATTTATTTTATAATGCTTACTGGAGTACCCATATTTCGACGTAACTAATGTTGGAATTAGAATCGAATAAGTGAAAAATTAAATATTCTTTCGTGGTCATAAATTAATAAAAGTCTGACTTGTGCGTACGACTGCAGAGTAAATCAAAACGCGTATGTTGGTATATAACCGTATGTCTTATATTCACGATATTAATATTCAATAATATAATATTATTCATTATTTACGACTAACACATTGAAATGTTCGATGGCTGAGCATGAGTTGGCTCCACATCGTAACATTTCATAATAGTTTATATATTATATAATTAGTTTGTACTTTAATATTATTATTGACTAGTATATAATAGTAGATAGAGATTTTACTTTTTTTATTTAAATGAAAGAACAAAGAAGCACTATTATATTGTTTTATATATTGTGATAACTATGAAGGACGGACTTTAAAGCTTGAATACACCTATATTCTATTAATATAATCTATAAAATGTTAAAATATCAATATATATTGTGCTAAAACAAAAAAATATGCACTAAAATAACAATGTACCCAGGTATAATTAATTATTTAAATAAAAATTAGGTAAGTATACCGTAAGTGTAGGAATTAATTATAAAGTTGGTATAGGTATACAGTTTTCAAACACATCAACCTATTTACATTTTTGAAAATGTTTTATATTATTATAAATAATATTCTGAAAACCCTACTATATTTTAGAACATTAAATATCAGTAGGTAATTAGGAAACATTTTATATAGACAGATCGAAGATACCAAGAAGATAGATAATATGATATTGATAATATACTATTAATTATCATTAATATAAAAGTTAGGTCTAAAGTTTTTACAAATTTGCATAATATACACGATATTTATTATTTTCTACCATATGCATTATAAATTATATTATTCATAGCTTTTAAACAGAAATTCAACTATAGCTTATAGGTTTATTTTAAATGCGTAGAACTTTTTAAATGTTAGATATTAATGTTATAATTTTCGACTTCCGTTTCGGATATCATGTTATTTCTTAAGATTTCGTCTTAAGTTTCAAAAAACGGTATTATTTTTTCCGATTTCGATTTCGATTTCAGATATCGATATTTATGTTTTCCGATTTCGGTTTCGTTTTTGGATATCGGTATTTATGTTTTCCGATTTCGGTTTCGGTTTCGGATACCGGTATTTATTTTTTCCGATTTTGGTTTCGATTTCAGATACCGGTATCGATTTTTTCCGATTTCGGTTTCGGTTTTGGATACCGGTATTATTTTTTTCCGATTTCGGTTTCGGTTTCGATTTCGGTTTCGGTTTTTAACGGTTTGAACCGGTATTCAAAACCGGTATCGAAAATCGGTTTCAAGCCCTCCATTAGTTTAATAATACTCGATATTTTATCAAAACTTAGTTATAATTGAAAACAATATAATATCACTGAACTTGTTTGTAATGATACACAAATCATTATAAGTCCCCCAGGGGCGCCCGAAGAAAATCAGTTCAGTGTGTGCAAAATTAATTTATATTATAAATAGTCTAAACATACATGTTTTGACTTAAAAAGTAATAAATTTTATGTGAATTTTGATAGTTAGGTTTAATTTAAATTATTTATTAATTGTAATATGAATAATTAAATATTCATATTTCATAAAATGTACTAATTACTAATGTCTAATACAGAACAATAGATAATATACTATTATACTATCATATTTTAGATTTTTTGTTGATTATTGTTATTATTAGAAAGAATTAGATTTAACAAGTAGGTATACAACATTAGTACCCAATTCAAATCGTATTTACTAATATGTAATAATAAAAAATAACAATGGATCTAAGACTTAGCTATTTCACCATTTTTACCACCTTAGTGGTAAATTTACAGTAAAATGTATCGGTAAATTTACCAGTATTTTTTTTTACGTAAATTCTTCA